ACAACAAGAACAGCTTTGACACATTGAACGCTAATGATGATGACCAGCTGAGTTGTGGGGTGACATCAACATCATATGGGCCCCAGTCACTGGGCCTCGGCGGACTCAGCGTCCTCTGGCTGAAGTCCTCATGTCCCTACGTGTCGTCCTTCTCCCCTTCCACAGACCATTCACACTGAGGCAAAGGAGTCTAGAGTATGTCCACATGCCCACTGTCCACAACCTCCAGTCTGTCCACCCCTTTGCTGGGACAGGATTATAGCTATAGGAGAATACCGCAGAGAAATGGACCAAAGACCCGTGCTGATGATTACGAGAGAAAGACACAGTGAGAGCTTCGGTTTAAGGAGCAGCCTGCCTGCAATGGTACCATAACTGAGCATCCAGAATGTGGAGAAGTAACTCAGCTCCAGGTGACCCGTGCAGTAACGTGCCAGCTCCTTGTAGAGATTGGGCCAGCTAAGGACAAGCAGCTGAGGGGTCACTGGGTTACGTGCTTGTGGAAGATTTCCTTGCAATGAGTGGAAATTCTCCCTTTTGTCCCTTGTCACAGTTTGAATAATGTAACCATCCGAGGTCCACTTTTCACTTAGACCAGTGCACCTCCTTCATTCAATGAACTACAAAGAGCCAGGCAGTATCAACAAGAGCATCGTACATGAAGAAAGCAAAAGGACATTGAAAAGATAGGAAGGAATGGAAACTCCAAATGGCTGTCAGAAGAGAGTCTGAAACTTAGTCCTAAATGACATGGAAGAAATAATGACACAAAAGAGCTGAAACGATGTCAAAAGGGCAGCTAGGAAAGACAAAGTGTTATAAAGAAAGTCGTATAAAGACCTGGCGTTAGGAAACCAAAAGTGTCCCAAACTGAAAGAACTGAAGAAAAATTTCAAGTCTCGAGTTGCAATATTCTATGGGTAAGCTATTAAGTGATGCAGAAGACAGAAGGTAGTTAGGAACACACTGTCTCTGTACCGAAGATAATGGGTCAATGTTCAGTCATTTCAGGCGGGAGGCAGCATATGATCAAGAACAGATGGTACTAAAGGAAGAAGTCTATCCGCTGAAGGTACTGGTGAAAATGAGGCCTCAGTAATTGAATACCAGCTGAGCTGTTTCAACACATGGATGCAACACTGGAGGTGCACACTTGTATATGCTAAGAAATTTGGAAGACAGCTACCTGATGAACCAACTGGAGTAGATCCATTCTTTGTGGCCATTCTAATAAAAGGTGAATCAACAGAAGGCAGAAATTATCTAACAATATCAAAACTGGAAGTTTTGTTGAAGATCATTTGTAAATAACTACAGCAGTACATTTGTGTGGAATCATCACAAAACCATGTTGGATTCCGAAGAGAACCTGGAATAAGGGATCATCACTACTGCTGTCAAATGGATCGTGGCTGACAGCAGAGAGGACCAGAGAGATATTTACCTGTGGTTTCTTGACTATGCAAAGGTACTGACTGTGTAGATCATAACAAACTATGGATACCATTGCAAAAAGAATGGAATTCTAGAACACTCCACTGTGCTCATGCAGAAACTGTACACAGGTCAGGAGGTAAGCCTTTGAACAGAACAAGGGGTACTGTGTGGTTTAAAATCAGGAAAGATGTGCACTAGGGTTGTAGTCTTTCGCCACACTTCTTCAGTCTGTTTGTTGATCAAAGCTGAGCTGTCTGACGAAGAACGTGGCATCAGAATTGGAGGAAGACTAATAAATACACTGTGACATGCAGCTGAGACAACATTGCTTGCTGAAAATGAAGACGACTTGAAATACTTACTAATGAAGGCCAAGGACTATAGACTTCATTATGAATGACATTTCCACCTAAAGAACACAAAAATCCTCACAATTGGACATCATCATAAGCAGAGAAAACATTGAAGTTGTCAAGGATTTCACTTTAGTTGGATCCACAATCAACACTCATGAAAGCAGCAGACAAGAAAACAAACTATTGTGTTGCATTAAGCTAATCTGCTACAAAAGACCTTTTTAAAGTGTTGAAAATTTAACACTTTAAATTAAGGTGTGCCTGATTCAAGCCATGGTATTTTCAGTTGCTTCATATGCATATGAAATCTGGACAATGAGTAAGAAAGACTGAATAACTGGTTTATTTGAATTATGATATTGACAAAGAATATTGAATACACCTGAGTGTCAGAACAACGACCCAGTCTGTCAGAATACACCTTTTAGAAGTAACAATGGTGAGACTTCATCTCATGTGCTCTGCCCATGTTGTCAGGAGAAACTGGTCTGTGGAGAAGGTCATCTTGCTTGGAAAATCAAGCTTCTCAGAAAAGAGGATGCCCCACCACAAGACGCATTGACACAGTGGTTACGACAAGGAGCTCACACATGGTGACAACTGTGAGGACCAAGCAGTGTTTGGTTCTGTTGTACATAGGTAGGGTCACTATGAATTAGAAATAACTTGATGGCACCTGACAACAACTTCACTCAGTCATCTATCTGGGTTTCTGTTTCTCTGTGTATTCATCAATGAATCCATCCATCCATCCCTCTCTCCAATCTCTCACTTAGTTATCTATCTATTCATCTGTTCTTACAGACTATGTACGTCTAGTCATTAATGTATAATGCATTCACTCTGTTATTGTTAGATGCCATCGAGTCAGTACTGACTCACAGAGACCCTGTACACAACAGAAGGATATACTGCCTGGTCCTGGGCCAACCTCACAATTGTTGCCACGCTTGAGCCCATCGATGCTGCCACGGTGCCAATTCATCTCATTTGGGGTCTTCCTCTTCTTCTCCGACCCTCCACTGTACCAAGCATGATGTCCTTCTCCGGGGACTGTTTCCTCCATGTATGGGAGACAAAGTCTGGCCATCCTGGCTTCCAGGGAGCACTCTGGCTGCACTTCTTCCAACACAGATCTGTTGGTTCTTTTGGCAGCCCATGGCACTTTCAATATTCTCCTCCAACACCATAACTCAAATGCATCAATTCTTTTACAGTCTTCCTTATTCACTGTCCAGCATTTGCATGCATATGAGGTTATTGAAAATACTATGGCTCGGGTCAGATGTACCTTAGTCCTCAGACTGACATCTTTGCTCTTAAACACTTTAAAGAAGTCTTGGGCAGAAGATATGCCTAATGAAATATGTCATTTGATTTCTTGACTGCCTAATCAAGTCAGGAGCAAATAACATATCTGTGCTGGGCACTCTTCTAGGCGCTTGGGGCACATGTTTGCATAATACAAAATCATGTCACAGGCTCGCCCTGGACTGGAAGGAGATGGGCCGTCACTAACATGAGAATGGAGAGTGGAAAAAGAAGAGTAGGGAAAGGGGAGGAGGGCTGCTGGGCTGAGCAAGGGTGGGGTGGTTATAAGAAAGGTAGAAGGCAAGAGAAAGCGTGAAGGAGGTGGAGGTGAAGGTGAAGGTATGGACCCTGTGAATAACTGGGGGCTTCCAGGCACAGGAATGCTTAGTGAAGAGGAAGGAGGCCTGTGTGGGAAGAGAGGGGTATGGGAGACATAGGAATGTATTGGCCAAGGCCTCTGCTGAATGTCAGCCCCATGCCCTGGCAACTGGTTGACCTTGGTCTGAAGCCCAAAGCCTCCACACCTGTTCCTACTGCTTTCCTTCCCTCCCACCACACCACATTTGATGCCCACGTCATCTTGTAGTAACAGGCTTCAGGTGGGAGGGTCACACTGGGCGCCATATTGCTTCTACCATCCTACCTAACTATGTCTGCCTCTGCTCCTCGCTTCTCCACTTTCATTCCTGCTCATTCATGGAATTCTCCCTCTCTCTGTGCACAGTCAGCCCCCTTAGGTCCCTTTTCTCTGCCCCTGCCCCCCAGCTTGGAAGATGTGCAGGTGACCTTGCTTCTCTCTCCCTGTTTCCTCACTCACCTCTGTGCTCATCCTCCACACCATGGTTCTTCATCACTCCCACCCCACAGAATCAGTAGGCCTTCAGCCCATCTGCTGCCGTTCCATCACTAATGCCGCGGGCGCGGTACTCTATGCATCAGGAGTGTGTCAATGGTGCCCAGATCACAAGACACCAGTTTTAGTCAGTGCCCATTTCCACTGGACACCACCATTCACTTACCGGTCTGCTGACCAGCCCCTTCCAGGTCTGATGTGCTCCTGAGTTTTGTCCTCCCCTCCATCTGCTTACCTGCCTACCGCGTGTCACTTTCTTCCACAGCTCTGCCTAGCCAGTCTACAAACCCTCTTTTGACCTCATTGAGCGCAAGCCCAGTTCCAACAAGAGGGGCTATCTTCTGGAGCCCCAGTCCCTCCCATCACATTAGCCATTAGTAAGCGTCCAGTTGCGTCCCCTGAACAGCAGGGTCCCGGAGGCAGTCATTTATTTAACAGCTGAAAATCTGCAAGCGCTGCGGATGGCTAGGGAGGGTGGGCCCAGCCTGTGGGCAGGTCCTCACTGCCCAGGAGGAGGTGAGACCCAGAGGCCTGCCGGTCGCCCAGGTGAGCGCAGGGCGCGGGTGTGAGCCAAGGCAGCGAGGAGCGCAGCGGGACCCCACAGTTGCGGGCACTGGCCCTATCACAACCAGCGGTAGGCGCCGTAACCCCCCAGGTCTTCTTGCATCTCCACTTTCCCTGAGCTCCCGGTCCATTGTCCCACCAGGTGGCCTCTTTGGACGCGGTGGTCAACGTGCTGCAGTCATGGGACCTGCGCCTCACGGAAGCCATGCTGCAGAGCATGGAGTCGGAGCGGCAGCGCCGCGCACGGGAGACGCAGCGGCACAAGGAAGCCGAGGCCCAGCGGTTCGCGGGGCCGGGGCACCCGGGGGCCGGGGCTCAAAGAGGCCGGGGCGACTCTGACCGCCCGCCTTCCCTCCCGTCCCAGCCTCAACTCCAAGGTGCAGCAGCTGGCCAGGGCGCAACAGCAGTGTCATAAAGAGGTCTGGGACGACCAGAGGAGGGGGCGGGCTCCTGTGTGTCTGGGGGTGGAGCTGGGGAGGAGCCAGGGGGTGGAGGGCGGTGCTCAGGAGACCCGGCGGGTGGGAGCGCCGTCAATCTGGGCATGGGGCGGAGCCTGGTAGCAGGGGTGGCGCCCGGGAAGAACCAGGCCGCAAGAAACGACTGAGGCGGCGGGGCCAGGGAGGAGTCAGGCAGCGAGGAACGGGGGAGGGCTGAGGAGATGGGGCCAGGGAGGGACTGGGAAGGGGCCAGGCAGTGGGGAGGGCCGGTCCAGAGGTGAGCCATGGTGGTGGGAGGGAGAAGTCTCAAGGCTGACCTTTGCAAGGGAGTGGGGTCTGGGGAGGGACCGGGCGGCGGAAGGCGGAGCCTGGTAGAAAGAGGCGGTGCTTCGAGACGAGCGGGAGGGCCGGGGGATAGGGGTTGTACGGAGAGGTTTCTCCGGCTGTGGGTAGTCTGGCTTTGGAGGCAGGCTTAGGGCGGAGCCGGGGAGGAGCCTGGAGTAGGAGGCGGAGCCCGGGGAGGAACCCGAGTGAGAGTGGTGAGGCGGGGAAGAGGCGGGAAGCGGGGCCAGGTGGGTTAAGGAGCGCTGGAGGCTCTGCGGCGGTAAGGTTGCCTTTTCCCAAGGACGCAGGTGCATTCTAGTCAGCATCTGCCTTCGTTTGGGTCCTTTAGCTGCAGCAGGCCTACTGCGAGCTCAACCGGAGGATCACGGAGCATGACAAGTGTGAGCGGAAACAGATGGGCAAAACCGAGCTCACACTGCAGGTGGGCGACACCTGCACGCGGTGAGCTGGCCACGGGGATAAGCTGCCCGATTCTTTTTGCCTTTGATTTGACTTGTGTGCCACCTTCTGGACACCTCTTCTGGCTCGTACCAGTCCTGGGGTTCTTGGGTCTGTTTTCCCCTCCCCAGATAAAATGTTCCCCCCGGCTGCTCTGTGCCAAGGGGGCGCCAAAGCAGTGGTGCTCAGCCCCACCTCTCCTGCAAGGCCATCAGGGATGCAGAAGCCCAAGTGGACAGACTCCGGCAGGAGGCCCAGAAGGCCGAGGAGACGCTGGCCATAGCTAGGCTGGCACTTCGGGAGCAGACTCAAGAGGGTGGGCAGGGGCTAAGTGCTGGGGGAATGCGGTTATGTGCCGTCGGGGAAATGGGGTAGGAGAGGCAAAACCCAGGTAGGGGGCAAGGGTCCGGTCCTTCCGCGCGGCCTCACCCTGATGTCCGCACAGAGGTGGAGGAGGTTCCTGGACTAAAGTGTCAGGTAACGGAACTTCACGATGTGCTGATGAAAGACGTGGGCGACCGTATCCGCAAAGATGGCAGGTGAGTGCCCACGATGGGAGTGGGGTGAGTCAGGCCCTGCTGTCCAGCTGACCTGGCAGCTGCCCCCAGGTGGCCTCTTGTCATCGACCCTTCCGGCCAAGCAGCCACTTTCCTGCGCTACCAGGATACTAACTACTTGGACACGCTGAACCCGGAGCACCTGCGGCCGGAGACAATGCGGCTAGCTCTGCTCGGGGCGCTTAGGTGAGGCCAGGCAGGTTAGGGTACAAGACGGGGACAGTTCCAGCTCCTCACCCCCCCACCCCTCCCAGGTACGGGAAGCCGCTGGTCTTCGATCTGCGCGAAGTGGACATGTTCCAGATGGTGCAGCGGCAGCTGGAGGAGGTGCAGATGGGCCTGGCGCAGGCGCTTCTGAGCCGGGCATTGCTGGCGGAGGAGTCCTATCTGTCTTTGCTGCGGCCAACTGATGGGCCAGAGTATGACCCCACCCAGTTCCAGGCGGCACGCCTGATGCACTTCCGCCTCTTCTTCGTTACCAAGGTTCGGTGGCCATCGGCGGAGCAGCTGCAGGCGCTGCTCCCAGTGCGCGTGGTACTGCCTGGCACGGGCCTCTAGCACTGTGGCCCCAATAAAGCACGCAATGCAGGGCGCTGCGTCCATGACTGTGCAGGTGTCCGAGAAATGCGTGAATGGGGGCAGAGGCTCAGCTGGAGCACACTGGTGTGGTGGTCACTTGGGGTGCATGTCGCCAGGATCCCAGGTGATACGAACAGAAAGGTTGGTTTGAATCCACCCGGAGGCACCTCAGAAGAAAGGCCTGGAAACCTACTCTTCTGGAAAAATTCAGCGACTGAAAACCCTCAGGAGCAGAGTTCTCTTGTGATACACACTGGAACACCACTAGTCAGTCACCTTGGTGACAGCTGGCATTTTGGGGGCATAGGCAGGCCAAGCAGTCCTAAGAGAAGTACAGTGCAGGGTGATCAAGTGGGGGTCCCGGTGGGGGCAGGCTGGGGCAGTGGGCCATCCTCAAACTCCTGCTGACCCCAGGCTTGGAGAAGCAGGGTGAGTGGACAGAAAGGCAGGAAGTAAAACGTAGTCAACTTTATTCTCCTTAAACCACAAAATAGAGTCTTTGGTTGTACAAACATCACTAGTTACAGTCTCGCCAAAGAGGTCCCGGCAGAGGGGAGAGGGAGCAGTTAGTCACAGGCCAGAACTCCTGAGGGGTCTCTTTAAAATGCTAACACCCAGGTTAAAAGACTCAGGGCAAGGGTGGTGTGGAGAGCTGGCAGGACCCCCCACCCTAAGTCAGGAAGGCCAGCCCTGCACAAAGAGGGAGCCCCAAGGCGGCCTGACCCATCTAGGAAGGCACGGGGCCCAGGCCTCGGCGCCCCGGCCGCATGGGGCGACGGCTGCTGCATAGGGTCACCTCCTCTGGACCTGAAGCCCCAGGTGAGGGCCTGCCCAGAAGCACCAAGGCCACTTCTCCGTCCTCCTCCTGGGGACCTGCAGGTTGAGTGGGGGTGAGCTTCGGGTATCAGGACCACCTCCCCAGGAACTTCCCTACCCCCCCACCTCTCAACTCACTGGGGCTGGGAGATGTTTCCAAGGCCCTCAGCTCCTCAGCAAAATCCGGGGACTGGGACAGAAGAGAGAGGCTGAGTGAGGCCTGCCCGACCTGACCTGAAACCAGCCGCCCAGCACGGGTGGAGAAGCCTTGGACTGAGGTCCCGTAGGATAGGAGGGGAGGCGAGAGCGAGCAAGGGGACCTGGGCTAGAACAGTGCTGGGAGGGCACAGGATGTGACAGGCCCGCGGGCGGTGAGCACGGCGGTACCTGGATGTCATAGACAGGTCTGGAAGAAGGAAGGGCTGCGAACACCCTGTAGTCAAACTTCTTTCCAGACAAGGACTGGAAAGGACAGCATGAGGAAGGAGAGGACAGTGAGAGTGGAAGTGGGGGGGGGGGGGAGGAGAAAAAGGAAGAGGGTGGGGGCCGCTCCCAGAGAGTGATGGGAAGAGGCAGAGAGAGACCCCCCCACTCCCCGCCCCCCGCTCGCTCCACCCACAGCCGGGCCTTCTCACCAGCCGTCCTGGGGAGGTGCTGCTCTGAAGGCTGAGTTCTGGGAGGCGAGAAACCCGTGTTGGGGGAATCTCCACATTGCAGATTGGGTTCTCCACCTTCCCTCCCTTTCCTCCCTCCTCCACAGACCTTCCAGGGGGGTGGGCGAGGGCGTGGGTGCGGGCGAGGGGGATTCTGCCAACCGCTCCAGGGGCCCACGCTTGCCCCGGCCTTCCTGCGACTTGCTGAGGACCATCTGTGCGCGCAAAGCATCCTGCTCCAGCGACTTCATCCTGTGGGAGCAGTAGGCGGGGCTGGGTGGGGCATGTGGGCGGGGCGCAGACGGATGGACGGGCAGGGCAGAGGCGGGGCCTCACCTGGCCGCCCTCCACAGTGCGCGCTTCTCCGCCTCCAAGGCCCGGCGTTCCGCAGGGGACAGGGCCCGCTCGGGCACCGGCACCGGCAGCTCGGGGCTCTGCACGCGTAGTCGCTCCTGATGACGTCGCTCTGCCTTGGCTGTTCGCACCGGGGCATTGGCTCCCAGAGGCGGAGGGGATGAAGGGCTGAGCCTGAGGGAGGGGACAGGGCAGGAGAGGTCAGACTAGCTGCCATTGGGGCTATGTTGACTGTAAGCGTCGGGGACACGGAAGCGGCTCTCACCCTCCTGCAGTGCCCGGGCCGGCCCAGGGTGGCTCCTCATCGTCCTGTGCGTCGGGGGCCTCCCCTTCCAGGACAAGCCCCAAGTCCGGAGGTCCGGGGACCACTGACGCCTCTTCCCGCATCATCTGAGCCCTCTTCTGTTGCAGCTTGCGCGCTGGCGTGGGCGGGTAGGTAGGCCAAGTCAACGGCTTGCCCCTCCCCTTTCCCACCTAGCCCTCCTGACCGCGCTGCCTCACCTTCCTCCTCCTGCATCTTGCGCAGGTCATCGGCGCCCACCAGAGACACACGCTTGGGCGGGCCCTCGACCTGGGGCACTCGCACATCCAATTCGAAGTATTTCTGCCGCTCACGGAAAGACAGCTGCTCCGGGGAGGCCGTGGGCGCCGATGTGCTGGGCTGGGGGAGAGTGGTCGCTGAGACCTGGCTGACCTTACCTCTGCCCCTAAGACAAAGTCAAGGCGGAGTCCTGCACCGGGGCAGGGGCCCCTCTTTGCCCCTGCATACCTGGGCCGTGGTGTCGTCGGGTGGGTGTTGAGTAGGGACAGCGGCGAAAGTCCGGTAGGCCTGCTTAACGTTGGCGGGCAGCTCATCCGGGGAGGGCGGGGAAGGCAGCTGGGGCATGAGGGAAGCCTGCAGCCGGATGTAGGCCGCACCCGACCATCAGCTGTCCTGCTAGGGACAGTCCACCATCCTCCACCCTTGTCCACCCGCCAGCGAGGATGAAGCTGGTCCCGCCCACCAGCTCTCAGGGCACTCACATAGTGGGGGCCACCTTTGTCCCTGAGGGCCAGGGAGCCCCTGGGCCAGGCCTCAGCCAGTGGCTGGATCACCCCCGGTTTGGTCTGCAGGGGGCAGGTGCGGGAGCAAGGGATCAGGTGGGGGATGGGAAAAGAAAAGACAGAGAGATGGAGCGGCATAGAGCGGCAGGCCAGGTGGGCACTGAGAGCACATAACCAGCCACAGTGCAGTAGAGGAAGCAGGCATAGGGGGTCCCCAGTGAGGGGCTTGTGAACAAGAATAAATAAAGGTGGACGATGGGCAGGCAGGTGCTGGCTGTCAGGAGGTGGAACTCCAGTTAAGGGGCTCAGACCATGGACTCCCCAAGGCTCAAGGACTTGAGGCTCCTCTCCCTGACCCCAGGCTGCACCCTCAGACACGTCACTGTGCATCTGAGGGGCCAACTGGGATGCATGGCAGCCGAGACCTGCACCCTTATCTCAGGGCACTCACCTGCTGGCTGGGAGAGCAGGGGGCCTCGGTGGTCCCACCTCCAATGGCCCCTGAGGACATCTGCAAGAGGGTGGGCAGGGGGGCCCAGGGTTGGCTGAGACGGGTGACCAACAGGGGATTGAGGGCAGGGCTCCCAGCCGCCAGGGGGTAGACACTTCCCTGAGGCTGGTTCACACCTCCCCAGCCTGGGAGCCATCCCCAGGGATGTGTGGACAGCCACTTGGGCAGCATGAAGGGGTTCTCCCCAAAGGGCAGAGGCTGCGAGTCCACCAGGCTCTCCCCATCTCCCCTCTACAGTGCTGGGGGTGGGGGGCTGGCCCTCAGCTCTGCCCCCAGGCCTGGGCTGGGGGGGGGGGCAGCTCTTTGTCCATGGTGGTGGGTAGCGGTGTCCAAAGCTTCACAGGGAAGACAGGACAGACGGAAAGGAGGCAGGAGCGAGCGAGCACACGAGGGGGCATTGGGCAGAGAGCCACAGGGATAGAGAATGTGGGGAACCCCCCCATCAGCCCCTGCGTCCCCAGCATGCCCACTGACTTTAGCACAAGGGGCAGCCTTGAGGCCCCTTGGCCGTCAGATCCCACAGCTGCTGCCCCTCCTGGGTGCGTTCCTCTCTTCAGATTTAGTGACCAGGTCATGCAGGGTCTGCCCCCTAGTCCCCTTGGCTCCAGCTCCTGCCCCTCTCCCTAGGGTGCCACCTTGCTCTCCCAAGGGCAGCCTGGCACCCCGGCCAGCCCAGCTCACCCTGGTGCTCCTGCGGGGTCTCTGACAGCGGCTGGTGGGCACACCCTGAGGTCGTTCTCTCTTTAGCTCGGAACACCCGCCCCCTACCCAGCTGTCCAGGCCCTCGCCCTAGGCACCCAGCCCCCCCACCCTCACCCCCCGCCAGTTGCTCCTGGCTGTCCACACCCAGCCCTACCCCTTCCTGCAGTCTGATCCCTAGCCCAGCCTCTTACCCTGTCTGCCTGCTGGCTGAGAAAAGGAAGGACCTCATGGGGTGGGCTCAGGACCCCTTCCTAATGGCTAGGCTCAGGAATTATGGGAGATGAGGTCATGCCTGGCAGGGAGGTTGCACTCGTTTGGGGGTCTTGAGGGGCGTGGGAAGGGGCCATGGAGAGAATGGTAGATCTTGGGACCCATGGACCCTACTCGGACTCTTGGGACCTACCTGGCCTGGGGACAACTTGTGACTCACAAGTCACACACTCCCAGACCACTGGGTCTGGTCAGGAGGAACCCCATGTGGGCTGAAGCTAGGAAGGGGAGGGTCCTTGGCAGAGGTAGGCCATCAGGGCTGCTGGGGAACGGGATGGTCTCCTGGTACCTCTCCTCCACAGTCCGCATCCCTGTTCCCACCACAGCCCCTCTGGCCCTCGTACGCAGCTCCCCCCACAGAAAGTGTCAGGTGGCACGGGTGCTGAGGGGGCACGGTGGGTGGGTGGGCATGAGCGAGAGCAGCCCTGCACTGACCCTCAGCACGCTGCCTCCACTGGACACTGCAGCCAGGGCTCGGCAGTCCAGCCTCAGCAGCTCTGAGCTCTGAGCCTGGGGACAGAGCAGGCCCTGAGCTGCCACGTGCAGCACTGGCTGGGACGTGGGCGCTGGTCATGGGGGCAGTCTTCAGGGCCCTGTCTGGCTGTCGCCCCAAGGTTGCCCAGCAGGGAAGGGATGCCTGAGCTTGCAGACTGGCACTCACAGTGGCTTCTGTGGTCTCCGGCCCCCGTGGTGGTGTCTGTCCTGCCAGCTCCTTGTCCTGAGGACAGAGCGCATGTGGATCAGGGACTGCTGGCCGCTGATTCTGGGCCCACCCAGCTGAAGAGAGACTCTGACCTGGCCCTCGGGGCTCAACTCCCGGTCCACAGAAGAGATGCTGTCCAGGCTGCTCCGGCGGCCGACGCCAGCCGCAAAGGGGTTAGCGATGACACCTGGGGACACCTGGGAGGAAGGAAGAGGGGTCTGGGGGACAAATCCCAGTGCCAGCCCACAGGAATGAAGCAGCACTGTGTGCAGACAGGGCCTTGTCCAGCGGTGGCAGGCCTGCATAGGACCGCCCTGGCCAAGGCCTCGTCCCCACGCTGTGTCCCGTCTGGGACGTAGGCTGGCCACAGTGCATGCTCACAGGGTGGCTGTAAGCACAGGTCGAATCTACAGGGCTTCTGAGATGTCTGATCTGAACAAGAGGGGGCGGGGTGTGGACAGGGCACACGGAGGCGGGTGGAGGGGGGCAGAGACCAGGCTCCCAGTGGGGGCCGTTGGGTCTGCAGTCTGCAGTGTGAGCGCCAAGTCAGAAGTCTCAAAACAAAGGCATTTTGTAAGAAGCAATCTGGCCGTTTCTAAGCCTGAAAAGTCTCAGCCATCTCATCCCAAACCAGGCCTGGAAAAGGCATAGGGGTCTCTGGAGAAAGCCCACCCTGGTGGCCACCTGGGCAGGGCGAGTGGGTGGGACTGCTGGGTGCCAGGTGTCACATGGTCAAGAACTATGCCCGGGCTGTGAAGGTCAAGGACAAGCCCAGGGAGCAAGAGCTTAGCGGGACAGGAAGGAGGCAGTGGTTGGAAGTTGAGCTGCAATGGGGACCCAGCGCAGCGACACTGTCAGTGTGGACGCAAAATCAGCCCTGATTCCTGTTCCTTTGAAAGCAGTACAGTAAAGGGTGAGCAGTGAGGTGGCTGGCTGAGAGAGAGAGCAAGCAAAGAAAATGACAGGGCTGGGGGGTGCTGCGGGCTAAGACGATGGACTGCAAAATCAGTCTGGATCGCAAGGTCAGCAGTTCAAGCTCACTGACTGCTCCATATACAGGGTCGCTATGGGTCGGAACTGACTCGACGGCACTTAACAACAAAGGTCACACAGAAAGAGGGGCAAAGAGGGACTTGGTAACAGAACAGGGCGCGATGCATGAAGGTGCAACTGTTGTAAGGTGGAGGGGAGGCGCTGAACAAGCCAGCGGCTGCGCCACCAGGCCACTGGGGACTTGGTGAGAGCAGGGTTGTGATGGTGCCATGGAGTCCTAGTGCGGCACTGCAGGATCGTGTATGGACACCCTACAGAGTGTGACTAACACCACCCACAACCTGGCCGTATTCTGGACTGAACGGTACCGGTGGTTATAATCCCACTGGGATTGTTCATGAGGCAGGATTAGCGAGGCATTCTCTTTTGAGATAGAAAATCAACCTGGAGATCCCCAAGGAACTGGGATGCAGCAACTCAGGAGACAAGACCCTTCCTCCAGAGCTGACAGGGAAGTCGACACCCCGAATTCGGAGAGAAGAGGAAGGGCTGAAGTTGAGGGAGATGTGTGAATTCCTGAGCCCAAGGACACTGACCTAGCCACTGGGGGCTAGAGCTGAGAGTGAAGTGGCCAGCGGGTCTGAAGTGGAAGGAGGTGTATGAGAACTCTCAAACTTGCAGATTGTACCCATGTGATCTAACTTGGATAGCTAGCTGGCCAGAACTCGACCAAATGAAGATAATAAAGTTTGATACAGGCATAAAGGTCCAGTTGCTCACAATTCCAAATGAACTGGAAGGAGTCTTCACCTCAAGGAGCAAGCTTGTCTCCTCAGTGCACTGGGCTGACAGGGATGAGCAACTTAGACATCGGCTACCAAAAATGGGGGGCTATAAAGGCACAAAGCAGCTGGCTTACAAGCTTTCATGCTTAGTTTCAGAGTGAGGGGGTAAGGTAAAATCCCCACTGAATAGTTTTCCTCTTTTCCAGATGGATCTGGTGAAAGAGTATGGGGGAGGATGGGGATAGGATTTTATGATTCAATTGTGACTAACTGTTAGCAGGATTAATTGTGCTTGTCACCACTGTAAATGCAGAAGATGTGTAACTAAAAGGGGGAGCAGTTAACCTTTCATTTCAGGAACAGAGGACCCTAGGACCATCAAGAGGAAAGACTATGAGTGAAGCAGGAGATCCTACTCAGGAAAGTGCTGACAACAGAGACAAAGGCAATGGCATAGAGAGAGAGCAAGCGAGCAGCTGAGGACTCGAGGCCCATGGACTGAGAAAGGCTGTGTACCTGCTGGCAGGAGGCAGACTTGCAAGACGTGCCTTCTGGACTTTAAATGAGTATATATTTTTTTGCTTTGTATGTGTATATAAAAAAAAAAAAAAAAAAGAATAGAATCGAGGTAAATAAATACTGCGTAACTGATGGTTCCTGGAGAGGATTATAATCACTGTAATGACACAAAACATGATTTGTTGACTGTAAAACTGATAATCTGCCCTGGAAATCTTCACTGAATTCACAATAAAAGCTTTAGTTATAATAAATAAAACACAAGGAGCCTGCCTCTCTCCAGCATGACAGGAGGGCAGGAGGATGGGCACACACACAGAGGGACTGGGCAGAGGGTGAGAAGGAGGAGGATTCCTATGGAAGGGGCTGGCCCAGGGGACTGAGGTGTGGGTAGGGACAGGTGCCTAAAGTGGTAACAACAAACATCGATGTACTGTGTGGACTCTGTGCACCCCACAGTACTGAGCACATCCAGCTCCCAGACTTTGGCTTCTAAATGCCGCACTCTTACAAAAGGCCCCATGGCAGACTCCAGGGCCAGGCAGGGGATGTACCAGATATGCCTGGGACATGCTGTGTCAGGAAGAAAGGACATGCTCAGAGACTCTCGGGCCACATCAAGGGACTGGAAGGAAGCTAGTCGGCAACCCCCCACCCCCGGCTAAGCCAGGGGCAATTTCAGCATCAAAATAGCTCACAACAGTCCCAACAATACACCACTGACTACGAGCCAAATCTCGAAAGCATACAGACAGATAAATCAACGACTACATCAGTAGAAGGGCCGGGGGGAAGGGGGCTCTTCCTTACAGCAAAGCAGCTGACAAAGTCACAAGGGGCCCTGGGTGAGACTAGACCACTGTCCTTAGCCACTGTCAAGAACAGCTACAAAGGCCAGTGATAGGCACAGAGCAGCCGGAGGACGGGCTAAGGCATTCTCACCTAGGGCCTCCCACAGCACAACTGCCAGTCACAGGGAAAGTCAGGCCACCGTAACCAAGCAACCAAAGGTAAGATCATGTGACAGACCACATCCAGGTCACCTGAGATCATCCTGCAAAGCCACCCACCAAGACACGCTGTGAGGAAACATCAGACAAACCCCAAGTGAGGGATGTGGCCCACCACAACAGCCTGCTTGTACAGCATCAAGGGCACAAAGGTCAGGCCGCCAACGCAGCTGTCAGAAGCCTGTGGGGCCCTGGGCTGGACCCGTCAGCTCCAGAGGGCGTCCTTCAGACAGCTGGGGCAGTGTTCCTCTAAGGCTTCTCTACATAAACCCCCAAGTCCCATACTTCTCACTTCCATTTTCCATGAACTTTGAAAGCGCCTCATATTCTGCATCTGCTTGCACCTTTTAAACACTAGCATAAGAAGCTGCCAACTAATGACAATGGTAGCCTGCAGACAGAAGGGACAGAGATGGAGGTGAACCTGAGGGTACAAACTGTGGAGCCACAAGGAGCCTTCCAGGAAGGCCTGGTGTGGTGGCGCTCTAGGCTCAGCACTGCACTGCAAGGCCGGCGGTTCAAACTCAAGCTGCTCCTCGGAAACCCTTTCAAGGGTCGCTACGAGTCGGAACCAACTCCACGGCACTTAACAACAACAGCAGCAGAGAGCAAATGCATACAGCCAGTTGGCAGCCTAAGCAGACGAGAGGTTGAAATCACTGAAAACACAGGATTAGGACTGTGTACCCTAGGTGGGCAGAGCCTAGGAGTAAAAACAGCACAAAGACATCTGAACTGCTCCCACTGGTCTTTAACTGAGAACTGAAAGTTCTCACGGCTTTCCTCTTTTTAATACCCACTTCCTAGCTCTCCCCACTGCAGAGACGTGGGGTGGGGGGGTGGGGGTGGCAGCCCGGTAGCAACTAGCACCCTCAGCACACAACTACGGTCTCTAAATGGGGCCGGGACTGCTGATTTCAGGGCAGGAACAACGAACTTGGGACATGCTGTTCCAGAGAGCAAGGCTGTTTGCAAAGACCACAGAAATTGTGACCCATATCTACAAAAGGACAATCTGAACATCAAAAACAAAGATTCAAAATAATAAAATGTAAAGATCCCAAAGTTCATAATAATAATAATAAAGTAAAAAAAACATCTCATCATCCTCTTTGAAGGCTGCTGTGGTTCCAACTTGTTATTCTAAACACTGACAAATGAGAGGGTGTCGTGGTTTCCTGTACACACTCTGATTTCAGGAGTTAAATGAATTAATAAAGAAATAATGATGCAGCAGGCATCAAAAGAAGTTGTAAGGAATATACAGTCACTTTTCCAAGAAGAAATGGTCGATGTTCAACCATTTCAAGAGGTAGCATAGGATCAGGAGCCAATGAGCCTGAAGGAGGAAGTCCAAGGTGCACTGAAGGCATTGGCAAAGAGCAAGACTCCGGGAACTGATGGAAAACAAACTGAAATCTTTCAGTAAACTGATGCTGCACTGGAGGCACTCACTCTTCTAGGCCCAGAAATTGGGCGACCACTACCTGGTCAACTGATTGGAAGAGACTCATACTTGTGCCCCTTCCAAAGAGGTGACCCAGTGGACTGTGGAAATCCTCGGACAATATCATTAATATCACATGCAAGTACAATTTTGCTAAAAGAACTGAGAAACCGCTTGCAGCAGTACACAGACGGAACTGCCAGAGGTTCAAGCCGGAGTCAGACGAGGACGTGGAAGCAGGGAGCTCACCACTGACGTTAGACGGATCTTGGCTGAAAGCAGAAAATACCAGAAAGATGTTTGTTGGTGCTGTTGTTGAAGTGCCATCGAGTTGGTTCCGACTCACAGTGACCCGGTATAGGGTTTCTGGGAGTGGCTAGTGGGTTTGAACTACTGACCTTGTGGTGCAGAGTCTAGTGCGCATCACAGTGCCACACCACCAC